TATTTTATACTCGTATTTTAAAATTATGTTAACTTGTTGTTGTTGTAATAAACTATTATTGTTATAATTATTATTATAATGAGTACCTATACCTACATCATTTTTTGAATATGATCTTATAATATATATTTATGTATTAGTTTATTCTAAATAAACCATGTGAAAAAATCTTCTCCTTTGAAAGTAGATAACTAGGAAATCTGTCTTTTGTGTCAGTTGAACTATTATAGATTACTGTTAGCCATGATGAAAACCAGTCTTTTACATGTAACTCAAAATCGTGATCTGATGAATTGAATTTGTTTCTAGACAAATCTATAATATAAATAAACAAACAAAAATAATTATTTATGGTATGCAATTTTTAACTCAACAATATTTAAGCTACCTTTCATGATGCTCATAAACATAGGGTTAGGATAAGGACATAACCTGTCTATGGACCTTTTGAAGATAGCAAGTTACTGAAAAGTCTTTGTAACACACGTTTAATGAAATTCTTGATATCAGTGCCTCCGTTTCTTGTTATAAAAATTTGTCTGCAAAATTGAAGTAAGTCATTAATAGGACTATAAAATGGAATATGCATAAGTGATTTCTATGTACCTAACAGATAATATATACATACGAAAAATTGTCTTAACATTTTATATTCTTACCTCATTGAGTTTAAAATCTGGAATTTGAGTATTATCATGGTATAAGCCTAGGACTATGCATTCAGGTATATATATATATATACATTTGTTTAAACTAATTGTTCATTTATAATATTGAATACATATTGTATGAGCAGCATCTGAAGTAGAAAAATACTTAGTTTTTTATTTATTAATTTAATTATAACAGTTTTTAGTTACCAGCAAAGCATACTTTGATATAATTTGTAAGTAAATTAAATGAGTGGATCAATGAATTGCAGTGATTAAATTTTTTTCCACTATAACCTTTTCAATGTCTTTCATTTACATAAAAAAAAAACTCAAAGTTAATACATAATACTTACCACGATTAACAGCAAAATTATTAGAAACATTATTGAGTATATAATAATCATATAGCAAATCTCACTTGACATATAAGTGCTACTGAACATTTGTACATTGGGTTCCTGTGAAAAGTTTGAACTGTTATCAATATTGTACAACATTTCTTGATTGCTACATGATGAGGTAGTAGCTACAATTTGTGTTTAACGTGATTTTTCCAATATTGTTTCAGAAAGTTTTCTCGTAATTTGTAACTAAAAACAACAAAATAATTGGTTAAAGTAAAAACAATATCACACACTTCCATAGCATCCCGAACTATACCCATAACTTTTCGATGAAATTTTAAATACTACACTTGTGTCTAGTACAGTGTATTCAGCAACATTTCTTATGAAAAAATAAAGGTTTATTAAATCCATGTTGTAACAAACGGCGATGCTTACGAAGACGACTGATTTGAAGACGATCGGTTTGTGAACGCTATTACCAGGATAGGTTGTGAGCCGCACATCCGCGGGTTTTAAAAGAATAATTAAAACGAACGTAGCAGTAGGGGCGAATAAGAAAGGTTGAGAAGGCAAAAAATCGAGAAAAGAAAGTTAAACCGCTTACAATTTTTCGGATAAACAACAACGATAATGATAAAGATAAAAATGCGAGATAATGCAGCGACGCGCGACGGTTCTGCCGCACAATAGAACAATATAGAAGCGACACGCGATCAGCTGGTTGGGGTCTTGTTTACCTATGGGCTATGATCTGATGTCTGAACCTCCGAAAAACAAGGAAACGTTTACCAATATGATGTTAGACCCAAAGTGGTATACTGGTATTATGTAAACGTTCACTTCCACGTAGGCTGGGTACGCTGCGCGGGGTCGGCTTGTTTACCATTCAGTATTCATTATTCAGATTTCGTTTACTTTATCTCTAGATACCATTTTCAGGGCCCCAATCGCCCGTCCCGACCAATTCACGGAGTGTCGTACGCCTGGCCGCACCGAGGAAGTATGCGATTGTTCGGACTTCGGAATAAGGAACCTATATAGGCCCTACTATAGTACTAATACCTATATTACTCTATGTCCTGGTTTTACTGAGTTATGTCAGCGCTCCGATTCCTTATCATATTGATTCGGAAAGTTTTTTATTGTGTGGTCGTTAATAGTCGTATTACGATGGGTGGGTTGCAGTGGCGGTTTTGATGAAACATCAAGGGGGGGGCTATTTTCAATTTTTCGGGTCTCCCCTCTCATAATTACATACATCAAATAAAGAACACTTTTTGTTTATGGTCCTATAATAAATTACATATAACTTTTATTTTTTATTTCATAATTTAAATAGTTTAGTTTTATTGGAATACTTATAAAGTATCAGCCTCTGATTTATACTTACCTTTAACCGTATACATGTTATATAAAATATAGTAAAAAGTCTGTAGATTTGACTATAATCTAAAAAAATAAAATAAATATATAACTGAAGTAATAAATTTAAAGCAATTCAAGCATTTAGTACAATTTCAATTAAAAAAAAGGACATGCAAGTGTCTAGGGAGTTGTATAAAAAATTATATTATAAAGCAGTAAAGCACCGTGTAAAATATTTAGATAAACAGCTTAAAACAATTTAACATGTACTTCAAACAAGTCAATTAATCAGCTTATAAATGTTAATTAATTCCATTAAAAACAGTAAACATAGTAATAATAATAATTAAGCAAAAATTAAAATTAAATTATTTAAATTAAAGAAAATTAAATAACAAAATCAATGTTTCTTTTTTTGCTATTTGCAAAGCGTTCTATTATTTTATCTTCTGAAATATCAAACTCTCGATGAATATGCAATAATGCTAAGCCACAAAGTCTATCTTGAGACATCTTTGTCCTTAACCAAGTCTTAAGCCTGAAGCATTTAAGCGTAAAAGTACATTTTAATATATACTTACTTATCTTGGAATTTAAAATCAATCATAAAATAATACCTCCTTAATGTAGAGAAACTGCGTTCAGCTGATGCCACGCTTATTGGTAAAGTAGCAATTAAAGTCAAAATTTGCTTAATATTTGGAAAAAGTACATATGGACAATTGACAATAGAGTCAATAGCATTATTAGGTACATTTATTTTTGATTCATTATTTACATCGCCTAAAACAAAGTTACAATTGGTTATTGTTAGTAGTTAATTGATAGCATAACATAAATATTCTAATGATTAATGATTAAGTTAGGTATCTACTTTCAAAAACCCATTTGGACTTCCATAACTCTAACTCAGCTCTAAGAACTTCTTTTTGTATGTTCAAGAATCCAAATTTTTCTAATATATCTTCAGTTAATGATTCTATTTTGGTTGGAGTAAAATCTTTTAAATAACATGGAACAATTCCCATTAAAGTCAAAAATATTTTATTTTTATTATTCTTAAACCGTTCTTTTATATCTTCAATGATATTATCAAGTAATGGAATGTACAAGGACCTCATATAATATTCTTCTGGTGAGTTACTAGGGGGATTTGGCCTTTGAGTTTGTCGTTTAGATATTCGTGGATGTTTTGTAACAACATCATGTTTTTTCATTAGTTCTGAAGCTTCCTTATAGATTTTATTAAAATACTGACTACAATTTGTGCGTTTATCGGTTAAGTTATCCAAAACCAGTTGAATACTATCTGTTGCACTAATAAAATCCCTTTCTTTCCCCTGAAGACATTTGCTAATAGGTAATGTAATACTCAGTATATTTGTTAGAGTAAACAGAGTTAAAATAAATTCACAATTCTCTAAAGCACTTATCAACATTTTGGCTTTGGTTGCAGATTCAGATTCTGACCATTCAGATACTGTACTTAATGCAACAAGTATGTCTGAAAATGAGGAAGTAAACAATAAAATACTGTCATGTCTATCAATCCAGCGCGTTTCACATACAGTTTTTAAAGAATGGTTTTTCAAAATACTTTTTAGTACGAAATTCCTTTTTGAAGAAGAATTAAAAAAAGCAACTACTTCTTTGATAATACCTACAGATATACAAGATATACTTACACATATACAATTGACACAAAAAATCCAAGGGGGGGGTGAGCGCCCCCTTCGCCCCCCTAAAAAACGCCACTGGTGGGTTGATCGTTCACTTGGCACTCGAGATCATTATTATAAAGAAAATATACATAAATAACACAGAAGCGGACTATGCAATACAACACAACACAGCCATACCAATATGAATCAAAATGATAAGGAATCATAACATGATTACATAATAAATAAATAAATACATAATTCAGTACCACCAGAGCCTGCTGCAGCCGGTTCATTATCCCGACCAATCGCATACTTCCTCGGTGCGGCAGAACCGTCGCCGCATTATCTCGCATTTTTATCGTTGTTGTTTATCCGAAAAATTGTAAGCGGCTTACAATTCTTTTCTTGATTTTTGGCCTTCTCAACCTTTCTTATTCGCCCCTACTGCTACGTTCGTTTTAATAAATTATTCTTTTAAAACCCGCGGATGTGCGGCTCACAACCTATCCTGGAAATAGCGTTCACAAACTGCTCGTCTACAAATCAGTCGGTCTTCGCCGATTGTTACAACATGGATTTAATAAACCTTTATTTTTTCAAAAGAAATGTTGCTACATACACAGTACTAGACACTAGTATAGTATGTAAAATGTCATCGATAAGTTATGGGTATAGTTCGGGATGCTATGGAAGTGTGTGATATTGATTTTACTCTAACCAATTATAATGTTGTTTTTAGTCACAAATTACGAGAAAACTTTCTAAAGAAATATAGGAAAAATCACGTTAACACAAATTGTAGCTACTGCATCGTCATGTAGCAATCAAGAAATGTTGTACAATATTGATAACAGTTCGAACATTTCACAGGAACCCAATGTACAAACGTCCAGTAGCACTTATACGTCAAGTGGGATTTGTTATTAAAAAATTCTTTATAATAAGTAAAAATATTATAATTATTAATTTTGCAACAAAAAATTGTATACATGTTTGATGTACCTATTTAAAAATTTTCCAGCTGAAATGAACACGATAGATGAGCATTTAAAAGTTTATGAATCTGCATCTCCTATGTGTTCCTGGAGCACAAACATAATACAGAATTCAAAGTTTCATCACCCCGTCCAATATTATGTATAAGTTTCAGCTACACTTAATAATGGTTCTAATAATTTTGCTGTTAATCGTGGTGAGTCTTATGTATTAACTTTGAGTTTTTTTTTATGTAAATGTTAGACATTGAAAGGTTATAGTTGAAAAAAACTTAATCACTGCAATTCATTGATCCACTCATTTAATTTACTTAGAAATTACATCAAAGTATGCTTTGCTGATAACTAAAAACTGTTATATTTAAATTAAAAAATATGCATGTATCTAATCTTTTATTTTTATTATTGTATTTAGTAGCTATGTAATAAATATTAAAAACTAATATTTTTCTACTTCAGATGCTGCTCAGAAAAAATGTATTCAATAATATATATGAACAATTTGTTGAAACAAATATACATATACCCGAATGAATAGTCCAAGGCTTATACTAAGATTATACTCGTATTCCAGACTTTAAACTCAAGGAGATAAGATAATACAAATTTAAAACAATTTTTCGTATGTATATATTATCTGTTAGGTACATAGAAATCACTTTTGCATATTCCATTTTATAGTCCTATTAATGACATACTTCAATTTTGCAGACAAATTTTTATAACAAGAAACGGAGGCACTGATATCAAGAATTTCATTAAACGTGTGTTACAAAGACTTTTCAGTAACTTGCTATCTTCAAAAGGTCCATAGACAGGTTATGTCCTTATCCTAACCCTATGTTTATGAGCATCATGAAAGGTAGCTTAAATATTGTTGAGTTAAAAATTGCATACCATAAATAATTATTTTTGTTTGTTTATTTATATTATAGATTTGTCTAGAAACAAATTCAATTCATCAGATCACGATTTTGAGTTACATGTAAAAGACTGGTTTTCATCATGGCTAACAGTAATCTATAATAGTTCAACTGACACAAAAGACAGATTTCCTAGTTATCTACTTTCAAAGGAGAAGATTTTTTCACATGGTTTATTTAGAATAAACTAATACATAAATATATATTATAAGATCATATTCAAAAAATGATGTAGGTATAGGTACTCATTATAATAATAATTATAACAATAATAGTTTATTACAACAACAACAAGTTAACATAATTTTAAAATACGAGTATAAAATATGAAATGTTGCAACTCGTTCTATAAGTTAAAATCTTCAATACGAATTAATTGACTCTAATTCAAATTATAATAAAATATATTACAAAATGTAAACAATATCATAATAAAGCTAACACATTCTTAAATTAAAATTTGGAAGATTATATAAAACAAAGAGATATAACACTAAATACATGATTTGTATACGAAATGAAATGAATTAAAGTTAATACATCAATGTGACATTTATTAGGTACTAGGTATTTTCCTATACTTTATATTATGTGTTATTCATTTCGTATGTAAATGCTATATTATTAATCATATAATAACTGTATAAAAAATAAGTTATTTGCTATAATTATAATTATTTCATAATAATATGTTAATGTTTTATTCAATAACCTAAATTTGAGATAGAAATTCATTTTCATATCTTCTTATTTATTTATAAAATAAAATAAAAGTTGTTATTTAGTACTAGATAAATTGTTATACATTATATTATGAGTAATTCATTTTGTATGTAAATACCTTATTATTAACCATTTAATAACTTTAGAAGACAAAAGGTATTTACTTAAATTATTATTATTTCATGACGATGCTTGTTGAATAGTCATCCGTTAGAGCACTAGTAGATTTCTGTTCCCCGGAGGTATACACTAAATATTGTAATTATCATATGGATATGGATATGGATACTGACTAAGCGAAATCCATTATTAATTTATGTAGATTATAGTATGTGGGGGTCATTTTGAATGTAAATTCCATAAGACCATGTACCTAGCTACTTATGTTAGGTATACATTTTAATAATTAAATTGCAAATTTTTATTTTTATCTATGTTTGATGTAAAGTCAGTTGTCTCAATATAATTATACATAGAAATTATGCTGTATACAATATTATTATTATTATTATTATTATTATTATTATTATGATGTAGATACTTATGCTTTATCCAATAGTAATAACTTTTAATAGCAAATTTTTTTTTGTACCAACATATGTTTTTATGAGAGAAAAGTTGTTCATTAAGTACTAGGTATATAACTATACATTATATTATGTGATATTCATTTTGTATGTAAATGCTATATTATTAATCATTTAATTACTGTATAAGAAATAAGTTATTTGCTATAATAATTACTATTTCATTATAATGTGTTAACGTTTTATTCAATAACCAAACTTTAAGATAGAAATTCAATGTCATATTTACTTGTTTATTAAACAAAAGGAAAGTTGTTATTTAGTAGTATTTAAATTTTTATACATTATATTGTGTGTTATTTATTTTGTATGTAAATTATGTATCATTATACATTTAATAACTACTGAAGACATAAATTATTTACTTATATTATTATTATTTCGTGATGATGTACATTGAATACTAATCCGTTAGAGCGCGCCACTTGTAGCATCATCGTATATTTGAATTCTGTTCCCCAGAAGTATACATTGTAATTTTCATATGGATACGGACTAAGCGAAATCTATTATTAATTTATGTAGATTATAGTATGTGGGGGACATTTTGTATGTAAATTCCATAAGACCATGTACCTAGCTACTTATGAGATAGAAATCCAATGTCATACATACTTACTTGTTTATTAAACAAAAGAAAAGTTGTTATTAAGTACTAGGTACATTATTGTACATTATATTATGTGTTATTCATATTGTATGTAAATACCTTATTATTAATCATTTAATAACTTTAGAAGACATAAGGTATGTACTTATATTATTATCATTATTTCATGACGATGCATATTGAATATGCATCCGTTAGAGCACTAGTAACAACCTCGTATATTTGATTTCTGTTACCCGGAGGTATTCATATACTATATATTGTAATTATCATATGGATACTGACTAAGCGAAATCCATTATTAATTTATGTACATTATATTATGTGGAGGTCATTTTGTATGTAAATTCCATATGACCATATACCTAGCTACTTATGTTAGGTACAAATTTAACAATTAAATTGCAAATTTTATGTTTTGTTTCTATTTTTGATGTATATGCAGTTGTCTCATTAGTAATTTACATATAAATTATATTGTATATAATGTTATTATGTGTATACTCTTAACAGTTATAACTACAGCGAGTTTCCGATGGCAGTAGCATTAATTTGAAACTCGTATGGTGGCGGGTTAAGGCCCCTGCAAACTCAATTCATTTTTCATCAAATCGACCTTAGCGACTGACAAAAATTTAAGTACTTCTAGTTTTTCCATTTAATAAATGTAAATATGTTTTAATTGGTCAACAAGTCTACTTTGCATCGGTCTGACGATATTTTTGATATTTTTGATATTTTTGAAGATATTCAATACTAAAAATGTATAAATTTATAAAATGTAAAATATTTATTCCCGTCAAGAATTTTTCTAAAATTGAAAAAGTGCTCCGACTGATGCAAAGTAAACTTGTTTACCAACACCAACATCTTTACATTTTTAAATCGAGCCACTAGAAGTATTTTAATTTTTGTCAGTGCGACGGCTATTTCAAGTCCATAAATTGGTTTTGAATATTTTGATCTAGACATTGAATGACTTGTGCGTGTGTGTGTGTGCGACCATAAATCAGAGGAACGAAATAATTGCCTAAACACAACTCCTAAAAAATGACACATTTGCAGGTGCCTTAAGCCATAAGGTCTTAATTATTGTTATCTGCACAATTAATGACAACACAAGATAGTACTAAAAACCTTAAGATGACTGAAGTCGGTCGTGTGTTAAGGAAATTAATATAGACAATATAACACGATGAAATTAGAGTGACTTGTAAGTGTGTGCTATGTAAACGAATTTAAGTGTGTATGAGTATAATCGCTGTAATCGTTTTCGGACAATATTTCCTAGAAACCATCCTTCGTCGCCACTAAACTTCGTGAACAATGAACAAATTATGAGGGTTATAAATATAGGGTTTTAAAATTTCATGAAATTTATTTCCTTGAAATATTTCATTTCAGTGAAAATAAAAATAAAAATTATTGATTGAAATAATTGAAAATAATGGGGTTTAGATTTTGATATTTATTTTTAAACCTTTTTTTAAATACACCAGGAGAATTTGACAAAATAAGAAACAAGTAATAGCCTGTCCATAAAAGAAATTAATGTTGGGAAATGAACGTCTATATTTATTTAATAATCATATTATATTCGTACATTGTACCACGTAAACGCGATACTCTCCCAGTCCCTAACTACGTTCATATGATTAAAATTTATAATATTATATAAACAAAGTATATTTTGTAATATTTGGTATATTTACATTTTTTTCATAAAATATTGTCAGGACTATTTTTCAGCACTATAAATAAAATTTACAAGCATGAAATAATTAATCAACAATATTTATATTTTACTATTATATTATACTATTATACTATTAATATTATATTACTTATATTTTATTATTATGGGCTTCAAAATCATTTCCAAGTCGGCTATCTAGTATTTTTATATATCTGTGTAGTTCGCTTACCATGGTTGATATTAATTATAAGTGATAAGTTATTCATCATCAATATTATCTGTGTATAATCAATATATTATTTTATTTATAATCATCTATAATCATTAATCGAACACACACGTTTTAAAGAAGAAAAAATATTTTTCAATATTTCATTGAAATATTTCAAGGAGAGTGAAATTTTCAATTTTGAAATATTTCAAATTCAGAACCCTAGTTATAAATATTGTTGTAAATAGTAGATTATTTTACCATTTTGGTATTTTTTTTATAATAGTATACCTTTGTAATGATACGCTTATATCATAAATGCATTTATTTCATGAAGAGTTAAATATAAAAAATTAGTAACGGTCGAGTTGTCGCGTTCGGATAACGGTATACTTCAATAAAAACCCTTTTTTTTATGATTATTGATTATATATTACGATTTATGATTATACAAATTTCAAAATTAATTGAACTTGTATTGTTTAATCAAATTTACTTTATCTTCCAAAATGGTAAACACAAATACTATCTACCATCGACGCAGTGATAACTTACTATAAAATATATATACCTATTTGTAGATTTATATCAGCAATAATATTCGTAACACCAGCATAATATGCAGTTTCATATATTTAAAATCCAATCCATAAATATTTGTCTAAATTTCAAAATATTAACTTTGATGGCTGTATAAATACCTTTTAAGTTTTAGAACATGCTTATCCAATAAATCTAATGAGAGTGTTTTGTTATGTATATTTTTTACGTGCCCAACTTACAACTGAATGAATTATCAACATTTTATTTTATGGATAAGATATTGAAACTAATGTTCAAAAAGTTTAACATTTAATTTTCTCTTATTTTTCATAATATTCTACTGCTGACCTATTTTAAAAATATTAAAAATGTACTATTTGAAATATTAAGGGGATTCCTGACTACCATTTTTGAAGCAAAATGTTTAGATTAATTTTTAGACCTTCAGTCTATTTAGAATCCTTCGAATTACAACATAAATTAAACTATTTCTTTCCATTGAAATTTTAAAAAATGTAAATAATATTCTAAATTTTAAGTGGGATCGTTTCATTTTAAGAATAAAAAATTTACAATGTGACTCAGAGTATCCAAAGTTTGTTTAACTGAACTCACCTAAATGTAATATTGTTTTAAATTATTATTGGTATATAACTCAAGTCTGTTTGTTGGAACCTGTTTAGGTTTGATTTATAAGATTTCGATTTTAGGCATTTTAATACACATAACTCTAAACTCGCTTGCTGTCAAAAGATTGAAAATAGACCATTATAAATTAAAATAGGTATGTTTTAAACATTTTATGTTTTGAGTAAAACTCAGGCTGGCACGTTTGTAGTTAACACTTGTAGTTTTATCAACCAAAAT